CCCCAAAACCCCAAAACCCCATATTACAGTTATCTTCATTTAGATTTAATGAGAAATGAATCATTTTATATAATAAAAATTAGATAATTTAGAATAATTGATAGATATGGAATCCAAAAAAGCATAACCTCATAGATTTTTGAACTAATACGATCAACTTTTAACACTCATAAAATCCTAGAAAGTTAAAGCCGTGGAATTTGAAGTTAAGAAAGCTTTCAATAGCGACAATTTTCTTAGAAAGTAACACCTTTGCAAAGATTTCTTAGATATAATGACAAAAATGGTCAAAATTGTTGGCATGAAAGATATCCAGAATCTCATAAAGATGAACTCAGATATCTTTGAGCAACCTATTGAAGAATAATTGGTTGATGAAATAAATGATCCGGAAGGCCAATCAATTTTTAACATCTTGCTTGATGAACAATAATTTTAATTCGAAGTAGATCCTAATGTTGATTTGAGTACATTCGTTTTAACCTTAAATTCTTCTAACCCAATAGTAAATGAAACTCTTACTAAATTAGAAGAATTCAATTACAGTCATTGCAAATTAGAACATAATCCAAATAGGATCTTTTTGTCTATATTTGAAGGAGATGATGATTGTAAATTTTAGGGAGAATATGATATCGTTACTAAATAAATAGAAGGAAGATGCAGATAAATATTTGATGATGGTAGTATTTTTGATGGTTTATGGAAAAATAATAAGTCAAACGGAATTGGATAAATAGTTTTTGCAGATGGGGGCTATTATATTGGAGAGTGTATAGATGATGAGAGTCATGGATATGGAAAATATTACAACAGTGAGGATAAATCATTATATGAGGGATAATTTGTGCTTCATTATTTGTAAGGAATAGGTAAAATGAATTATAGTGATGATTCAATGTATTATGGGCTTTGGGAAAATGGTGAAAGATCTAATTATGGAGTATATGTAAATCCTGATGGTGACATTGAGCTTGGATAATGGAATTAGAATTAAAGAAATGGGTTTTAGATGCAAATAACTAAGGAGGGATAGATTAAAATTAGAAAATATGAGAATGATGAAATTAAAGAGACGTTGTTTGAAAATGAAAAGAAAGATGATTTACTAGAAAAGATTAATGATAATGAGATCGAATAAATTTAATTTCGAACTTTAATCTGAAAAAGATTTCGCATTAAAATCCCTTTAATTCCATAAATCTAAAAATTTATTATCTAAGAAAATTGAAATTATCTTATATTAAGGGGTTTTGGGGTTTTGGGG